ATTAATATCTATTTTCTGCTATCTACGAAATATTTGGGTGTCAAGTATTTAGTGTGAAATAGTTGGATCTTTTGCTGGCAATGCCCACATTGATTATATTTATAGAAAGCGTCTCGGTTCTTTTTTGGGTATGTTTACGGCGTAATCCTTACGCTTTGCCGATTCTATTAAACTCGCGTTCCTGGCTTTAAAACTATGTGTCTCTCCTATCTTAAGGAATATGCTTTCGCCAGGCTGGCCGGCAGGCCAGGCAGGCCAGCCAGTGGCTGAATACACTTCAGACGTGCCAAAATTGGATGTCATCAGGCATAAAGTGCGAGATGGCGTTTTCCATAAATACTACGCATGATAATAGTTCTAAAGTTGTTTGGCTCACGTTTGCCTTGGCCCTTTCTCTTCGTGTCCGCTTTTCTCCATTGCAAATACTTTCATAACCTTCATTAGGATTTATTTACTGGGTCAGGTAACAGCATGGCATTCCTCTTCCTTTATGCAAGCCTGTTCTGTATCCACTCGATCATTCTGAGGCGTGAATCATTGCTTTTTGACACGTTGCCATCTTTAAGGCGATTCCCTTTGCGTCCTTGATTTTCTCCTCATTCCGTATTGGAATTTCTCTTCATTTCGTCTTTAGTTAATTGTGAAATTTGATGGCTTTACTACTCTGATACGCAGTGTTGGCTTATATCCAAAACTTAACGTATTTATGAGCGTTATGAGGTTATTCTCTACTGATAAGGAATGTATTGTGCACAACTTATTTTTTAGCAGATTCAATAACAATAAGACCCAACATTAGCCTACGGAAATCAAATCCATAAATAAAAATAAAATAAAAAATATATAGTTTTTACGATTTTTATTCTTTTCATATGAAATACAGGTTCAGCCCCAGTAATACAAATAAAGTGGTATAGTGTGTATGTGTGTGTGTGTGTGTGTGTGTGTGTGTGTTGCTGTGTGTGTTGTGTGTGTGTGTGGTGTGTGTTGTGGTGTGGGTTGTGTGCTGTATCGTGTGTGTTGTGCGTGCATGTGTGCTTGCGTGCGCGCTCGCGTGTGTAAATAAATATAAAATAAAAACGAAACTGAATAATAAAGCCATAGCACACAACGGTGTGTTAAAAGTGTCTTCAATTATATTATTTAAACAGATTTTCGAGACTCATACTTTTCATTAATCCCACAATATTATTACATATATCGATGCAAACACAAATTTCTCGGCTTACCTAAATTGGTATAACGATTTGTAGGTAAAGCAAACATGACACATCCAATGGTCCTGTTAGCCTTTATATGCTGTTAAGAGGTCTTGTAAATAGACTGCAACATGCGTTTATGCGTGCGTTTGCACATGTGCATACGTGTGCCTGCTTGTCTTCGTATCAACCATGCGAAAAGCCCATTGTCACGATATTCAAGTGATTGTCATTAAAATCCAAAATTTAAAACGCAAAACGTTATCATCATCTTCTTCTTTTCTTTTTTCCTTCTTCCTCCTTTTCTCTTCTTTCTGATTATCTGCTTTCTTCTTCCTCGTCGTCTTCTTCGTTTTTTTCTTCCTTTTCGTCTCTGTCACCTTTACTCTTCCTCTTCTTCATCATTATCATAATTATCATCGTTGTCGTCTTTTTCTCTTCTTCTTCTCATGTTTCTTGTTTTTCTTTTTTTTTCTTTTTCCGTCTTCTGTATCTTTTTCATTTTTTATCGTGAGAAGTAGGTGTAGTGGGCTTTAGACTCATAGCGTTACATACGTCACTGTAGCGTAATACTGTACTCATCAGTTACATCATTTGTGCGCAGCGTTACACATTTTATTGCACCACATAACCTCGTCACGAATTAATAACGTCAATCGAGAACATTCTTCGCGCCATATTATTACAACAACCAAGAATGTTCCTCGCGCCATGTTATTACGTCAACTCAGAGCCATATATAGTTAGCACGAAGCATTCCTCGCGCCATGTTATTACATCCACCTCAACGTTTCCCGCGGCAGGCTACCTTCAAAATCTAGTATTATCTCAATAATTAATCACCGATGTATTATTAATTCGTGTTACTATATGTAAGCCATAATATTCTCCGCGCCATCTATTTACTCTTGTTTGATATCGGTGCAAAAGTTCTTAGCTTATGTTAATAATGTTCATTATATACCGATGAAAATAAATTTTACTTGAACTTGAACTTGAAGTCGTAACCAGAACGTTTCCCGTGCCGTGTTACCACGTCAACAAAGAACCACGTCTATCATACAATACACATATCATATGTATTTATGATAATATGCCCATAACATTCTTTGTTCGATTGTCAGTACATCAACCTAGGAAGAAAATCCACTGCTATGTTACTATATTACCCTATAACATTCTCTCTACACCATTTCACCACATAAACCGGATAATACATGCATGCTATGTCACCACATTAACCTAAAACATTCTCCGCACCATGTCACGATATAAACCTAGAATATTCTCTAGCTATGTCACCACATTAACCTGGAATATTAACCTGCTACGTCACCACATTAGCTTGGAATATTACCCTGATACGTCACCACATCAATCCGGAATATTCCTCTGCTATATCACCGCATAACCCTGGAATAATTACCCTGATACGTCACCATATTAAACCCTGAACATTCTCCGCTCGCCACGTCACCACGTCAGCATCACTGGGTGATCGCATTCTCGTCGCGTGGCTGAGCTCTCGAATTGCTATGCAGTTTGAACGCGAGCGCGTACCAGTGTAAGTGGCGCACGAGTTTCTTCGAGCCGAAGTCGGCGCTCGTCGACAGCATGGTGCCACTCTCGTCGATCAGATCCTGTACGCGACACAGCGGCAGCGTGAATGGCACGACGAAACAGCCCACCGACGCCATGAGCGTCCTCAGCTGAGCGGTCACCCTCACCGCACCGTATGGACCTGCAACGAATCGTCAGCAGTCGCTTGTAAATACCGTTCAACGCCCCCGACACACAACGCCGCGGTAAGTACAGATTTTAAGGAATATGTCATCGCATAGGAAAGGTTTGCGCAGCGGTTGAGTTGGTGACCGCAATAGAAATGGATTTTAAGAATACTTTATCTAATGCGGATGATTTACGTAGCGGTTATAAGTTGGCAACAGAAACGGACATAAATTTAAGAGTGCCTCATCGCATAAGAGTGGTTTACGCAGCGATTGATTTTGTAACAGAAATACAGATACTTCCAATTCGAAATGTGAAAAATGTTGCGCCCTCTTCAATTCCTGAACATAAATATACGTTGTATATACATAGCAGCAAATAATACACCAATTTACTTATACGTCGGTATAAATTATTGTTCATCCATCATATAATACGATAATAAATAATCATATAGTGTTCAACCATCATACGAAGTAAATCTATTAGTACACCTATCGGATCTACTATACGTATCATAATTTACTAACCATTTGAATACGTCACGATTCCGCAAGGCTTGCCGCGAAAGGCAACTTTCCCTGTAACGCCAACGACGTGCGTCAACACCGGCGGAACTACGTGGCAGTATTCCGACGAAATGACGACGACCGCGTCGCTGGAATGTATGGTGTCACACGGCTTCACAAGCCAGTCTCGATTTTGGTTAGAGTCTCCAGCTCTCTGCCCTGTCTGCATGTACGGCGACCACAGAGTGTCTGAAGATGTAATGGTGAATTTCTCAGTTTTTTAGAGAGATGTTGATTGGGTACGCATTTCCGCAAGATTGGGTACGATGCAATGACGAGCAAGGTCATTTATCTGAGCGAGCAAGATTCAGCAAACACTGTCAAACCAAGAGATTATGCTATCCAATCAAATGTCATAAAGTGATAATAATTATATACATGATACAATAAACATGTGACACAGACGACGCTATCTATACCGTATGGCAATGAGGCACATGGCTTAGCCATACCATGGCGTGGTCGCATATGTCACCCTAATGGTGTGACCAGACGTCGTCATCGCCCCCCCCCCTCCCCCTCCCCCACACACACACGCGCACGCACGCACGCACACACGCGCGCGCGCACACACACACACACACACACACACACGCACGCACACACACACACACACACACACACACACATATATATATATATATATATATATATATATATATATATATATATTCACACCCAATGTCATAGGTGGTAATGTACTAGGTACGTTGCATTACCAATGCAATAACAAAACTACGAAAACCAAATAACGAAATGATGCCACTTAAAAACAGAAATAAGATATGTAAGCAATGTAATGAAGATGTGTAAACACAACAATATGAAGTGAGGCCTGTGGGAGGGGAAGTTTACGAGCCAATATCTCAGCCGAGGAGTATCGTATTGACAAGCTGTTGGTATTGTTTTAGAACGCAAAGAATTCTAGACATAAAATTATTCTAGACTTTCAAGCAAAGTAGAAAAATATTGCCGTGAAATAACACTATTTTCCCGTTTTTCCGTTGTACACTCTAGGGGTTTATTAGCTCTTGATATAATATATATGTATATATATAATGCAATGACGGCTATATTTACCATTAATATAAGATGCGATGTAATTGAATGAACATAACAATTAATACGTAACGATAGTTACCCACCAACTACACTCACGGTGTGACCACTGCTTTCGAACACGTTACGCAGGTACGTTGCCACCCTGGGACAAAGCCGCTCTTCTGGTACCGATCCTAATACAAAAACGATCGACAAGCTTTCCTCAGCAGCCATCGCTGTACGGTAGGCCTACCTGACCCGGGCTACACGCGCGTTACCCGGGATGCACGCATGACTTCGCTGCTGGTTGGCACTGCAGAGAAAGAACCCACGGCGATTGGTGTCGCGTCGAAATAACCGAGACGAAAGATGGTATCTTCCACACGCGTCAGTAACCGAGTCGGATGCGCACGTGATTTTCAATAAGAGAATCCCTTTCTATACGCAATCCAGCTGCGTCTGGTTCTAATGAAACAGACCACACGCCGCGACAGTGATGAGAGAATATGTGAATTCCCTTTGTATGACGCAGGCCAGGCGCAGGCCATACGAAGATATTAGGCAATGAAGCTCAATTATAATTACGCGGCTTCGCCTATAATAAGAGTAGATATACTTAATCTACTGTGTGCATGGTTAAATCCGATAGCTTCAAGAGCCCTTATATTAATAATAGTATTGTATGATCGCGGTAGCACCTATAGGTCAGAAAAGGGGGAAAAAAGGTCAGAAAAGGGGGGAGGGATAGGCTTCATCTTGGATGCTAACATAAAATTAGAGCCTTTAAAGGATGTGAACAACCTTAGAAAAGATATTACAAAAGCAGAAACAGGGTGGGTAGGCGGGGCACTGGAGGGAGAAGGTCTTCTTTATATGCTCTCATCCCCCTCTCATCCGCGCGCAGCGCTCAGGATCATCAGCAAAGCTGTGCCACGCAATCATGTATCATGTCTCTCTGGATAATATCAGCAGTGAATAATAATCTCTATTATTCACTCTTGATAATATCAGGATAATATCTATGCCCACGACGTAGGCCTATATTGAGGCGTTCTGCCACCGATATACGCAGAGCCGTATATATATATAGAGAGATATACTCTAGATATACTACGCAGAGTCTCTATAATCTATATTACGTATATATATATATATATATATATATATATCATGACAGAATCCGCATGTGCTAGGCGTGTGTGATTTCTTTCAAATAGAGAGATATTTGTTTAATGAATTCGGTCCCGTTGTTCCATGGTCACATGGATGTGGGCTACTTGTCGGACCTGGCGCCGTCTAGCGACAGGCTAAAGCATTTAACCTAATCAGAATCTAGACTGACTATTTATACTCGCTGAAAATCAACTTGTACGTGCATTCATCCACAGAAACATTTTCACTCACTTTACTATTATTTCAAACAATATTCTTGCTAGTACGAATAGAATATTTGACATAATTAGGTTCTTCAGTGCCTGGTAGGCACTACCGGATACATAATTGTAATTTAAAAGCTGAATTAATAAGAAATCAGTCATTGAAACGACCTATCTCAGAATTGTGACTATGAGTAATTATTTTATCGAGCCCCCTTAACAGCTATAAAACACAAATGTGAAATGTTGTAAACATTGGAAGGCGGGGGTGCATTCTAAGCATTCCAGCCCATTCAGTTTTGTACCAGGTCGAGTAGAATAAGCACGAAACAAGCAAAGCAGACATATATCTCATTTGCTATACATTCGTCGTTGTTTTGCAGCTGCACTTTCGTAGTTGTGTGATTCTTTTTGCAAAAAG